GCGGCGCGTTGTCGACGAACTTGACCCTCTGGCCAACCGGGCATGACGCCGGCCAGTCGCAGGCCATGCGGTTGCTCGACATGACACAGGTGGTCTTGACGCCCTCCGTCATGCGGCACCCATCGCTTGCGGGGATAGCTGTGGCGACTGTGGCTAGCGCCAGTACCGCAGAGATTGAGGAGAATTGCATTTTTTTCGGGGCTGATGAAGCTCTGGAATCAAAGGCGTTGATGGTAGGTCCGTTTTGGAAGGAGTGATTTGGGAAGCGGCAAGACATTAGCATTAAGTACCTAGGAGTCTCTGAAAATCAATTCTCTTCAATCCATGCCCTCAATTTGTTCGTGAATATAACGACCGGGATGGGGGATGTAGCTCAGACTAACTGTGAACTATAAATCTCTCCTTGACAAGACTTCATCGCACAGCATATTGTGGGATGCCATTGTCCGTGGAATCCGCGTAAATGGAATGAAAGTGATTGATACGAAATTATGGCTGTATCAGAATGAAGCTTGATGTCCACCACTTTCTTTTCCTTTCCTTCTCTTTTTAGGCAACCGAGTGCTGAGCAACTACGACTCATGGCAGCTTTTAAATTATCGGCCTCGGGGAACTCCATCTCGGCGAATCTTGGCCATTGAGAGCTCAGTCAATGCGCAGAGCCACGTGGGAAAATATCAAGTATGGGACGAGTTAGAACCTTACTTGATTACTAGGCACATCCAATTTCATAGGCTTGAGCGACTCAGGCACACGACCAGCCCGAGTCAAGTAATGACCTTCCAAGTTAGCTGCCTGCGATCTAGAGAATCATATATGCCCTTGTCCTATCAAATTTTAACTTGGTCTAAGAGTCACATCCGAAACCGACCTTCACACGTGACCCCGGTACCGAGCAGCCAAAGAAGTCAATTCACAATTCACCCCAACTCTACGAAGAACGCATCTCAAGACTGCGGTCGGGTGAACAAGGCCACACCGACCCTGGAAGGCTCTCTAAGAGCTGTCAAGGCGTTTTCACACGCGCAAAACTGTCAGCTGTCGATTTTGCCCTGCAATTTGTATGCCCCCATGACCTGTGCCGTAAAGGTCAGATGGGCCAAGGCGAGTCTTGACTCTACCAAATTGAAACAGGGCGATCTCTTGTGAAATTTCCTGCTTCAGGTGTTATTCAATTGCTGTCTACGCGTCCACACACTACCTTTTGAACTGAGTTGTTTCGATGCTTAGAGCCTTCAAAGTCGTTGTGCGTACCACGCCTTTAGTAGTCCTCAGTCTCGAACAAGAGTGCGTTAAAGGAGGGAGAAGGTGAATCGGGCTAGGGACCTTGGAGACCCTACAATCAGGCAGGTTCTGTCGTATGTAGAGTGTGGTTCCGCATGAAAAGGCTTGGGTCGCTTGACTACATATGGGATACTGCGTTGAGGTGTCATATGAATCACTGGATGAAGAGGAGAAGAGCTATCATATGAGCCTCCTCAGTGGCGTCCGCTTCTTATGAACTTGTGATTTCTTGAATACACATGAGGTGAATACGCGGATGGCGGAAGCTGCCTGGAGTATAACTTCCTCATTCAACGTCACCAACCCTTATGAAGAGTGAATCATTTCTGATTCTCAACAAGATCAGGCCGCATGGCCGAGGGGTTCTGGGCTATCGAGGCCCCGAACAGACCGTGAGGTCTCCAGTCTATTCCGGGATCCATGTTCACCCCTCGATCGGTCCGGTCTTGTTAACTTTCTTTCCAAGTTTTGATTTCTGTAGAATCTTCAGACCATCAGGTCGGTCCTTCCTCACTTCTCGACTAACGCTCCATAACAGGAAGTCATGACACCCCTCGGGTTTTTGTCCTGAGCGGATAGTCCTAGCAATGGTTCATCCCAAGCTAGGGTACCGATCTTCAGGTAGTCCAAAAAGGGAAACCCGGCACTCAAGCATCGTCCTTGATCTTGACTCCCAACCCACGATCAACAACAACAGTAGTCTTCTGCAAACTCCTCTTCACTGGCTTCGCATCGCTGAAAATCTCCTCCAGCTCCTCCAACGTCCTCTCCTTGGTCTCAACGCAAGACATATACATCAACCCGAGATGCACAAAATGCAACACCAAGAAAATCGTATACGTCTTCCACCCGATATGCTTAATCGACACAGACGTCCCGTACGTATTGATAAAACTCGCAACGCCAGAGATGAACCCTTTGGCGCCCATCCCCTTGGCCCGGATCTCGTTATTCAGAATCTCCGCCGGGTACAGCGCCTGCAGCGGCGTCCAGCAGAAGCCCCAGAAGATACCGTACGAAAAGATCATGGCGATGAAGGCGTAGGCCTGCGGCTTAGGGACCGCGGTGCCTTCGTCTAGGTGGTGCTCTGCTTTCGCGGCGAGGACGTTGATGGGGATGTAGACGAGCCCCGTGAGCAGGGTGCCCCAGAGGAACAGCGGTCTGCGACCGACCTTGTCGACGAAGAAGGAGCCGAAGATGCCGCTGACGAAGGATATGACGGTGTTGATCCCGTTGAGAAGGAGTTGTCGGCTCGAGTCCGTGATGCCAACCCCGCGCACCATACTGTAAAACTCCACAATCAGTACATGTTCAATCCTGCTTCGTGCTGGAAATGTGTTACTCACGCAGGTAAATAGTACGAAATCACCGATCCCCCAATAAACTGAGAAAACACAGCAACAAGCATGATGAGCCACATGCGGTACCGGTTCGGCCGATTGTTAACGAGAACCTTATAGTTCCAGTTATTATTTCTCAGCTCCTGCTCGGCCTCCAGCGACGTCCGTATCTCGTCGAGCTCGAGCTTGACGAGCGCCGAGTGCGGGTTCCCGTCGCCGTGATACTTTGTCAGAATCGCCGCCGCGCGGTCCGTATGGCCTTGTGACCAGAGCCAGCGCGGGCTCTCCGGCAGGAACCAGACGACGGAGATAACAATGGTGGCCGGGACGAGCTGGACGATGTAGGGGATACGCCACGCCCAGTCGCTGGGGATGAAGTTTGTGCCGTAGCATGTCCACGCGGCCACTTACTCACAGTCAGCTTCCCATCAAGGACATCCATCCAAGTGAAAGCAAACCAAAAAACAAAAAAGGAAAACTCACTATTGGCACCAATATACCACCCCAAAACATTATACAACCCCCCAGCCAACCCCCGCCACGTAGGATACGCAATCTCCACCAAGAACACAGGCGCCGACGTCCCGCACATGGGCGTCCCCGTACCGACGATAAACCTGCCTATAAAGAACTGCGGCAGCTGGAAGCTGCTCGCCTGCAGCACGGAGCCCAGCACGATCATGGACGCGCCGGAGAACATGCAGGCGCGGCGGCCCCAGCGGTCCATGATGTACCCACACAGCAGGCTGCCGATGATGCTGCCGACGGTGTAGATGGAGAAGACGGCGCCGTTGAGCTCGCCCGTGAGGCCGATGCGGAAACGGGCTTGAAAAGGGTCCATTGCGTTGATGGCGGACATTACGGAGCCGTCGTAGCCGTTCATGATGCCGTCTTTTGTAGAGTTGGAGATTGTCAGCTAAGGGGTGTCTTTGATCTTTTTACAAAGTCATCACGTCTTATGGAAAGGGAGGTTTGGATGGAGCTTGAGAGACGTACTCAGAACGCAGAGACACATCATCGCGTAGAGCGTCATCTGCGACTTGGACTTGTAGTCGGGTTTGTCTTTGGCAATAGCGTCGGCGAGGGCGACGGACTGGACATTGACTTCCTTCGCGTGGCGGTGTGCGAGGGTGTTGTTCTTCTCGTCGTCCAAGGCGGAGGTCGTCGCCTCGACGCGGTGGCCTGTAGCTTCATTCTGCTTCTCCATGGCTGGTGTTTCTATCCTGCATGAAAAGCTATCTGTAATAGAGACGCTCGACCTTGCTGCGGTGGCTGCTCAGGCTAGGTAGCGTGGTGAGCAAGACGCCCTCATCATCAACTTTATATCAGAGGCTCGACATCTACTACGGTTAAGCTCTCTACCATTCGCCCAGATGGTATTTCCCCGGACCTTGCCCTCCCAGGATGACCATCTGGGGATATCGGGCAGTCCAACCGATAGACTTGGAGCGATATGACAACCACCCCCTGCTTCATCCCTCACCCCGAAAACATCCCCATGTCGCCGCATGCACCCCTCATTCTCACTGCGGGGTGACGATCCAGACGAACCAACGACAAGATACAAGACGTACGAGAAATCCCACGTTTACGCCAAGACGGCAGCTCATATCACCGCATCTCGCTATAATCCTACAACAAACCAAGATGGTAACATGGCTCCGATATGTCCACGTGCGCAGCTGACCAGTGTGAGATGCATTCATATCCTAGGGTTCCGAACAAGTAAGTTCAATGAACATAACCGCCAGACCTTCATTGGCGGGAAATACGTCCGTTGGAGTATGCTTCGCAGCTGGCAGCTTTTCCGTGCTTCGGCAGATGGATTGGCATGATTCTCGTGAACCCATCTTTTTGTAAGCACTCGAAGTCTACCTTATCCCTATCCGCCAAGGGGAATCCAAAGCACAGGAACATTGCACTAAGGAGAACCCATGGTGAATGGAGAAAGGCCAAGCAGGCCGGTCATCGTTGCTGTGCACGTTTGGAAAAGATGCAGCATTGTGCAGTCAAGATTGAAAATGAGAGCAATTCCCCCTATATTTGTAACCCAGGATGATCTAACATGCAGATTTTATCCTATTTTAAAACAAGAAAACGCCCGCGCCGCCGAGAATGCCATCCGCCTTGCCCCCAAGATAAGTTCCCCATCTAATCAGACGCGCGTTCATTCATGAGTTGTCTTGGTTGGTTCATTTCTGGATAGCCCAATATAATCTCTAGTGATTTGAGTAAAGAAAAAGAAAACAATCCCAACTGCCTTCTCGGATGCCTTGCCTGCCCATGTCATGTCTACTTTGAGATAAACATTCTTTGTCGTGTATCCCGTCTTTTCAGAAATGCTGGAAGAAAAAATGCGAAATGGATAACAGATTCTTAAACGACGTGCTTGACGCCGTTGGCCTGCTTGGAAGCGGCGAGCTCCTCCTTGACCACGCGGTCGAGGCAGCCCGCGCTGGCGGCAACGAAGCCGAGGTAGGGTCTCTGTCCTGCTTGTCAGTATCACGCGAGGGAAGGGGATATGGGTGGGCAAACGTACGCTAGGGTTGAGGACCTTGGACTGGTACTCTGCGTGGAATTGGGTTCCAACGAAATAGGGGTGGTTCTGAAGCTCAAAGATCTCCATGCGCTCACCAGTGTCGTCCTTGCCGATGAAGTTCAAGCCGGCCTCGGAGAGCTTCTCGACGTAAGCCGGGTTGGCCTCGTAACGGTGGCGGTGTCTCTCCTCCACCGAGTCGGCCTCGCCGTACAGGGCGCGCAGCTTAGACCACTCGCTGCCGGGCTGGAACTCGGTTGGGCGCAAGCCGAGGCGCATGGTACCGCCGAGCTTGTCGCGGCTGATCTCGGGCATGTAGATGACGACCTTGTTCTCAGCCTGGGCATCAAATTCCTCCGAGGTGGCGTCAGCGATATTGAGGAAGTCGCGGGCGTACTGGATGATGGCAGTTTGGAAACCAAGGCAGACACCGAGGAACGGGGTACCGTTCTCACGCGCCCACTTGGAAACCTTCATCATACCCTCGGTACCTCTGGTACCGAAGCCACCGGGGACAATGATACCGGAGGCGGTGCAGACATCGTGCCATGCCTTGTGGTACTGGGCCTGATCCGCGGACTTGGCCTGGATCTCGAGATGCTCGGCATCAACCCAGCAGATGTTGAGCTTCTTGCGCAGGTGCATCGCCGAGTGCTCCAGAGCCTTGACAACGGACAGATAGGCGTCCTGAGACTTGACGTACTTGCCGACAAGGGCGATGTTGATCTCACCGTCGTACGGGCGGCTGACGACGGAAGCCCATGTCTTCCATAGTGCCGCTCCCTCGGCGATGCGAGACTGAGGGATGGACAGAGCGTCCAAGTTGACGGCCTTGCGCAGCCAGGGGATGAGGTTCTGCTCCTCCAAGAGGAGAGGAACTTGGTAGATGGTGGGCATGTCGCGAACGACGAGGACCTGAGGGACGTCGACCTGGCAAAGAAGGGCAATCTTTCTCACCGTAGCCTCCTCAAGGGGCTGCTCGCAGCGGCAGGCGATCTGGGCAGTCGTTAGCAGTGGGACGAACCATCAGAAACAACCAATCCTACCATATCAGGAACCAGGCCGTAACTGCGAACCGTCTTCACGGCATGCTGTGTGGGCTTCGTCTTCTGCTCACCGTGGATGGTGGGTACGTAGGAGACGTGGATCTGAATGAAGTTGCCGCTTCCGGCTCTGTGGCGCACTATGAGAGGTCAGCAGTCGAACCAGCCCGGGAGAGTTTGTAGCACAAACATTGAGTCAATGCCTCGACGTAGGGCATCTAGATGTGGTGTTAGTATGCTTCAAATGCTTCAAAAAGTACGACCTCTTCGTCTAGCACGTCTCCGGAGTAACGTACGCTTTCGATATCACCGACTGTGCCTCTGTAGTAGCATGTTAGCATCTGAACCGACTGATATTCGTGAAGACGCGATCTCGAATCGAAGAACCGGTTTGCAGGTATATGGTTATATGTTGGAAAGGGGGCCAGCTGGAAACCTACCCAAGCTCGATAATGCAGACATCGGGCTCTTCGCCGGAGTCGTCTGTGGGGATCTTGGCAACACGCTCGATCCAGTCCTGGATCGCATCGGTGACGTGAGGCACGCTGGCATCTGTCAGCAAATTGAAAGATGTAGGTAAACCTGTGGAGGCCAAACGTACACCTGAACCGTCTTTCCAAGGTAATCGCCGCGGCGCTCCTTGTCAATGACATGCCTGTAGACCTTGCCGGTGGTAATGTTGTGCTCGCCCGTCAGACGGATGTTGAGGTAGCGCTCGTAGTTGCCCAGGTCTGTGTGCGAGCCTCGTTGTCAGAGATTTGCGATTGATAAGAATGGCAATAGCTTCTCCCCCGGGGGAGAAAAGGGGGAGGGATCCATGGGCCAGCTGTCGTCCAGAGGTTCACCTACCGAGATCTACCTCCATGCCATCGTGCAACTGATGATGGTCAGCGATTACCGTCAAATCAGAACATTACAGACTGCTCCGAGAATTACCAACACCTCATCATCTTAGGTGTGGCTTGGATAGAGACACTAGTCCCTATGCCCCGGACCAGGAATGGCACTCCAGGGTTCAAGGAATACGAACCACAAAGCATTCGCCGTGCTCGGCGGGAGCCATAAGACCAGCATCGACCTGTATGTCATCGTCAGTTACTGGGACACACGGTCAAGAGAGGGGTTCAGGGGAGGTTTCACTCACCGACAGGTAAGGGTCGATCTTGATGCTAGTGACGCGCAGTCCCAAGGTCTTGAGGAGCTGTTCATGGAAACCCCAACCGTTAGCAATGATGCATCATTCGAGGCTGGCTGCATTGCATGCATGCATGATATGGCTGTGAGATCCCATGAAGAAAACACCCCGCTATCCCCAATGGCTTGGTGTGGCAAAGCTCTCAAAGTGTGGTCTCAGAGTGTGAAGTCACAGCCCGTAGATAAGGAAATTTCAACAGGGATTCGGATACACACCAGACCCGTGGAAGAGGCGATGATGCCCTTGCCCACTCCAGAGATGACACCGCCTGAGACGAGAACGTAACGCATGATGGCTGATTTTTTTGCGACAGGACAACAAAAATCGTTCGTAAGAAGGGTATCGTATACGTTCAAGATGGGGGGCGAGGCTGTCTGGTGGCGATCAACTCTTGTTTGGCAGAATGGAGGGGAGGGAAGAAAGAGAGTCAAGAGTCAAGTGCGGGACGCGACGCGGTCGGAAGTAAAGAAATTTTTGGTTATCGATAACGCATGACGGCCGGTGCAGCCTCTGAGCCTGCCCGCCCGGTCTTTTCTGCGTGCGGCGTGCCTGCCTACGCCCTTCGGGACTCAAGTCCTCAGGGGACCGGGGTCCTGCCACAGCGGAGGGCAACGAGCAACAGCGGGGGGAGGTGGTCCGTGAGTCGTGTAAAGTGGATTTGAGCCACACCTTGATGAGAAATGAGGCTTGCTCACGTGCCATGCTCACCGTGGTGACATCTTCTCTCACCGAACTCCCGTCTCGAGGGCAGCATGTAAGTTGGTCGTGAAGGCATAAAGCCTCAACAAGAAGCAGCCTTCGGCTCAAGCGCTCAAAGATGGTTCCTACATTATCATTACCATATTCTAGGGCATCAAATCGTGTTTTGCTTAAGCACACCCTCTCTGCTGAATTTCTTTCTGTCTTTGGAATTGGTTTCAAAATCAAATTAGAATAGCAACACAGGTTCGCGCACACGAGAAACGCCACAGACAACCCGTGGACTCTACTTCCTGTACAGAGTCTATCGAGGGCTTACCCTCATGGAATCGAAATGCAAGTACACCATATTATCATCCAGTAGTTGGAATTCATCATGAGCTCGATCCCACGATGACCTCAATTGCGTTTCCCATTGCGTCTCTAGGCTTGCGTCCCACGGGGCTCCAATCAAGGTGAAAAGTATCGCTCTTCACAACCTTACGCACAGGAAAGACAAGGCTCATTGGCACGTTTCAGTCGATAGATGCGCAACACATCGAAAAGGCACGACACGAGACTCTCATTGCAGTGTATCGCGAAGCTTGATTCGACTCACTTATTTGTAGTGAGATTTGTTCCTGCAGTGTATTATCAACAACATCGATTTGCAACTCGTGAAACTATGGGCAAGATAATTCATTCCTATTTGACAATGTTAGACGCAAGGCCAATCAATCCAGATATCACTTTCAAGTTTCAAGGTATGTTCAAACAAGAGGCCTAGACCAGACACTTGCTTCGGTACTTTTTACGCCGCAGTTGTAAGTAACACGAGCTGTGGACGCAATGATCGAGATGGACATCAATGCTTTCCTACTTGTTGTCTCTCATAACATAATAGCAATCATCTACAGGATAAATAGGTATCGGGATGACCTGGAGCAGCAGAACCAACAACAAACATCGGGCATCCAGGTTGGCGGCGCCGTCGAAGGTCTGTGCCCCACAGAAGTAGTGGAGCCGACGTTTACGCTAGACAAGTTCCGTTTGAACCAGCTCAGTGCAGATTGGTCACAGAGCGGATGTGCAGGGCTGGGAAAGGGACGGTAGCACAAGGGGGGGTGAGATGGCGGGGAGGGATGCTGGAGTCTGGACTATCCGTGGATAGCAGAGGAGAACAGGACTCGACGAACTCTGCTCATCGCCCTGTGGTACATACCATGTATGCAAGTGTTGCCAGAAACTCATTTTCTGATGGTCTTGTACCATTATCCTGACTGTTAAGGGGAAGATAATTTGAGATCTCGCACCAATACCGTGCTCCAATACTGAGCACAACCTGCTGAGAGAGAAGGGATACTTTGTTGCTCGCGCTCCATGAGAAAGGCAGGCCTCCCAGTCAGTTCTTTTTTTAATGTAGTCTTGCTACGGATGCTTGCTTCGTTATATCGGAGAGCGGCAAGCCTGTACGCTCACACTCATATGGAACTGAATCACTACAAATCATGAGATTTCCATGAGATTTCGCCATGTCGGGTGTGAGGGGAGGTGGGCCGAGATCAAGGCTGGCGGGCGTTAAAGCTTTGGCGTTTGCTGGTCAGATTTGGGTCTCGGAAGGGATGATGATGGATGGTTGGATGGTGCGCCTTTTCTTGGGCAGATCTGCACCCACCAGGAAACGCTCACGCCCGTGATGGCGATGATTTGTTTCAGGATGTGCTCAAAAGCTTGGAGCTTTCCTTGCATTGTAATGGGAGCGAAACGAGAAGCTATCTCAATGCCCGCGACGTTCTACCTAAGCAGTCCCTGAACTTTGGCATTGACTGCCTCAGGGTTGGTGAGGGGGGTTTGGCGAGGATGGAGGGACGCTTTTGTATTCGTAAATGTGAATGGCGGGCCATCCATGCGGTCCGGCATCTTGGGTGCTTGGCCACAACAACAAGGGTGCCCAAGAGTGGAGAAACATGGGAACCGTCGAGGTATGAGTCTGAATCGGTTCGAGCGGTGAAGCGAAGGGCAAAGTGATGCGAGCGAAATAAAATAGCAATGGCGCCGGCTGAGGTGGGAATCGATGCTTGGAAGTTCTTCTTCCTGATGGAGGCTGTACAAGATCGAGTAGTGGCACATCTGACAGGGATTTGTCAAGATCGAGCAAAGCTGGAGGTGATGTGAAGCAAGCGCTGATGGTGGTTTTCAATCTCGTGTGGTTAGTGCAGTGCAGTGCAGTGCAGTGTGCGCATCCACGTCTCGTCTCTCGTCCCATCATCTCCCGGATGGGGCCGATGCTGGGCTTGGTGACATCCATGAATGGAGACTACTTTGGACCTCCATCCCCATCCAATACCTACCTTACCTACGGTTACCCTGAGGCACTGAGGCACGGCAACACAAACAGGAAAGATAGCCGAGGAGGGTTCAAGCCATGGGAATCCAGGCAGATGAAGGTGCCCTCGCGCGGAGCAGCACATCCATTCCATGTTTGGCCGCAATGAGACAGGAAAAAGGGAACAAAAGGTTATTGAAAAATAGAGACGAGAAGAGGATCCGAAGCTACCATCCTTGATGAGCGGCGTGGCAGAGACAAGATGCGCCAGGCCGGGCCTAGCAGCCAACCAACCAGCTACCTTACCACACAGCCAGCGTGGCAAGGCCAAAGGCCAAAGGCCAAAGGGAAAGACGAAGCCGTGCGTTTGAACTGGGTTTAGATTGGATTGGATTGGATTGGACTGTGGGTTAAGGTAGAAAGGGCGCGAGATTGAGGAACGGCGGGGAAGAAAGGCCGGAGCAAGCGATGAGATGAGATGAGGCAGGAATTTGCATGTTGCTATTCGACAGGGCGTGTCTCTCGCAATAACGTGAATCGGAGAAAAAGGGGGCACACGTGGATATGCAGAGCTGGTCCTCAATTACTGCTGGATGGAGGATCTTCTTGCTGTTGAAAGTAGGTACCTGAACGTAAGGTATTTGTAGGAGCACACATCCGACGTGAAGAGAGACGAGAAATTCGGTGGGATGATTGAGATGGCGTGAGCAAGGTGTATGATGGGAGGAGAGGGGAACAGACGGCTGAAAAGAAGCAGAAACCATTGACGGGTGCGTACAAGTGAAATACCCCGACCATTTCTACTCAGTACCTTACTGACACGGTCTAAATGAGGCGTCTATCAGAATGGGGGAGGACGGGAGGTGATGATGGCTGATTTCCGAGGCTTCCCTACCCCCTCGCTCCCCCCAAAGCCCGCCCCGACGTCAGCTCCATTCCCACAGAAAGCACGCAGCTGGGAAGGCAGTCACGAAAGGGTTTTCTTTCCTCTCGTTGCAATACCAGGTCTCACCTTGAAGTGGCCTGGTATTTCCTGCTTTATCTTCCTGCTTATTCTACCTTAATGTACCTGAGGTAAGGAAGCAACTGAGGTACGTTGACCACCCGCACCTGCTTCACCTGGCAGCCAAGTTTCCTCAGAAGGTCGGGTGGGCAGGTACCTTCCTCGCCTTTCAATCGGGTCACAAACGTTCCTTCCTCGTTCCCACCAGCACCCGCATGACACATGGGTGGCTGCAACTTCCTCAGCCCAACTTTGCTCCTTCTTTCCATGAGTTACCTTAAACAAGGGACAGGATGGCACGAAAGCGAAGACATTGGGAGAATCACCCGCCGGACGGAGTAAATATGGAATCAAAGGTTAGGAAGGCAGGAAGTGCCCAGCTCATCGGAGGGGTTAGCTACCGTTTTGCACTTGTCCGACACCGTCGAGCAGGGACGGGCAGGCACTGTAAAGGTAATGGGTCCGAACTGGGAGGAGCGCAGGACCGACACCAGCACCAGTACCAGCACGGAGGTACATCCGCCATGTACTCTAATTCACATAAATCGCCCAACCTGCCCCCGTTCCCTTTCCTCCTCTTTTCTGACCATTCCCTGACTTCTCTGCTGCTTTCCTTTCCTGCTCTTCCTCGTCGTTGCAAGATTATTGCAATTCTCTCCAGTCTGCGCTGTCGCTCTTTTACGGGCCGTTGACACCGGCGTCTGCTGATCTGGAAACGGTAGCCCCTCCCAAGGCCTCACCACCGTTTTCCCACCGTCAGGACCTTGTAAGTTCTACCAGCTGGACCCGGAAACAACAACAACGGATCATTCGACCTCGAAAAAAGACGACCGTCGCCAAAAAAAAAAAAAAAAAACCAAAGTCGATGGAGTGAGAGAAATTCGGTCAAGCCTCGCTTTCGCCAGGAACACGTCGATTCAGCAGAGGACGCTGAGGGCAGACTCCCTCCCACAAAGGGTCGAAACAGTCATGGCCTGTCTGGGGCCACTCGACGGACGGGGTCGACCAGGGTGCTTGGCCGTATCTGGACCCAGTGGGCGAGAATCTCCAACCCAGCGACTACCATGAATGGCCAGGCCTTCAGGCTTCATTCAGTGCCGCAGCCTTCGTCCCTCTTCATGTTTGACCGGTAGTCAAGAACAAGGACCCAAAAGTGGCCAGAAAAACCGGACAAGTTCAAGCCCAATCGACCCGAAAAAAACCTCCCAAGCATCACTGCAACACAGCAACAGCAAACTATCGAGCGCAGGCACGAGTAGAAAGCCTTCTAGGACTAGCCATGCGGGCCATGACCGTGACGGGGCCGGCACCGGGCCAGGCCAAACTGCGCCAGACATGGGATCCCGCCAAAGAAATGACGAAACAACCCTGAGAGCAGCCTGGACCCTACCGCTACCGCTATCGCTACAGCCTTCTGCTACTGCCACTGCTACTGCGACCTACCCTTACCGTGGCGCCATGCCAGTAAAGAGACTCGAAACCTTCTGGCTGAGACCATTTGATATATGCCAATTCGGAGACCGCCGCAGAGTTTCGACGCTTCAGTTTCTATCGTGTGTCTGCCGACGTGCCAACGAACAGCAGAAATGGAAGTCTCATTATGGGCTGTCCGAGAATCACTGGCGCCGATGTTGGGTGATTCTGACGGGGATGTGATGGCCGCTTCGACCTGAGCCATGTCACTGGGAAGCATGCATCTCTACCGCATTAGCTTCTTTGGGGCCTTCATTGGCGGGGCATCCTGCAGCAATTAGCCATGGACAACGAACGACGGCGGCAGTCTCGAGATGCAACATTTATTACTCGAACGACGACGACAACCACACGCGGCAATTCGTCTCCTTTACCTTTCTTCGACTTGTTTGCTTCCTTCGGTTCGCACATCATGCAGACTTCTGCGCCCCCGACCTTCCCCTACCATCTGCACAAGGCAAGGCCTTCCCCACTTACACTAGACGCCGTGTTCTTACACCCCTGCGGATGGTGATAGGGAAACGCACAACCAGGCGCAATGATGGAGCGACGTGCGACGTAATACGGCTTGCTAAAGTTGGCTGCCGTGACGCTGGATCGAGTTGAGTCTGTCACATTGCCATTCCTTCGCTCTCACACCTACACACCTATCTACATACCCGCCATCTTCCAACTACTCGATGCAGGTTTCGGATGTGGCATTGCTATCAGACGCTGTTATCGCCTCACGACATGATCATCTTTCGCGAGGTAGCTCGTCGCCTTCCATCTTTGCACCCGGGCATCTGGCTGCCTACTCTCTATTCACGCCTCTTTCGACTGACAGGCTTCTTCTGCTTTCATTTCTTTCCCGTACTCCTGCGACCCAAGCAGACCGCTTGGTCGAAGAAAATATATCCGTGGACAGCCATATCAACTTTTGAAGGATATGCACAGGACATACCAGAGCAAAACGATCTTTCATAATCGTCATATGAGCGGGCATTCTTTACAAGCGGAACCCATGGCGCTCAAAATGTGTCGTTCCAGAGGCGGCACCAACTGTTGTCTGGAATATTTTTTTGTATGCTCAAGAAGTCTTGGGATTGGTCTCGGGGATCATGCAGATATGCCATACAGGCAGAAAACAGTGACTTGTTTATCGGCCTTATGGGCTCGAGAACTATGTTGAAAAGAGACGGGGATTTGAGGAAGGCACTCCAGGCTCGATCATGGGAAATGAGAAGGAAGACCATACGACACTACCTCGGAACGATGATCGGCACAGAGAGAGAAGGAGAGGGTCATCGTGACTGTGAACTCCAGATGGGGATGGACAAGCGCAGACGACTTGGGGAACATGGGCATCGGAATGCTCGCTGATACCTATCACGAGGAAGGAGGATGACTCGACAACAACAGCGGTAAACACCATTCATCACATCCGGTATAGTGAGAGCAGCAATTCTGCCCGAGGTGAGCAGATGCGGTTTAGGTGACTCTTTGGAGGAAGAGGGAAGTAATACGCGGACGTTACTTGGTGGACACCAATCTGATAGTGTTTGGTAAGACACTGATGGAGAATGTTAACAGCAGACACTGCTCTGGTATCTGACCACTAACAAAGACATTTCATTGGCTCTTCGGTTCTCTCCGGGCTCTGGGTTCCACCGAGTCCAAACAACGCTAGTCCGTAGACGGAAGGGAAGCGCGTCTGGGAACATTTGCCTGGCGGTGGGCGGATGAAACCAATGGAGCAGCAGCACAGCCCCCCAAAGTCTCTGCTGATTTGTCGAGAGTTGGAAGAAGCAGGCAGGAGCAGGACTTGACTTGACAGACACGACACAGCCAGGAACCTAAGGACACACTCTCACTCGGTCGCGTCCAGTTTGAATGGGAAGCCAGCTCAGTTCCAGTTCACAGTTCACAGTTCATCGACCCTCCCTTCCAATTCTGATATCCACGACTCTCAGCCCGGCTCTCATCAGTGTTCCAAGCTGCAGCAGCCTTTGCCTCTGATTCGGGACGCCGCCGCCAACAAAGCTACTTTTGCTTTCTGTTGTCCATCGCTTTTGAGTAGCATTTGTTAGGTAAGACCAGGCACACCCTCTCTCTCTCTCTCTCTCTCTCGTTCTTCTCTCAGCCTTTCTGTTGCATTGCTTGCTTGCTTGCTGCTGGTCGCTTGCCCACCCCATCGCTTTTTGCTTTGAGGCTTTCTTCTTATTCTGCTTTTCTGTTCTGGCCTGTCCCGACCCGAAGCTGTACTGCCTCCCTCCGCCGCCGCCCCAAAGTCGTACCCTTTTTTTTTTCCCCCTTCCCAATCCTCGCACCCCCATCCCGATCACCCCCGGGCCGCCGATAGAGTTGTAAGTGCTGTTTCCATCATCTCGTGACCTCTATTCGATGCGATGATGTCTCCTTCTTGATGGTTGACACCTGTCGATGTGGTTGCTGATGCTTGTGGTTGCGCGAGTTCGCGATCCTGGGCACTGCAGGCTTCGCATCGCCTCTGCCTCTTTTTTGCCTTTTCCCCCCTTATCGCTGCTGCCTTGCCTTGTGTTCCTTGCGCGCTTCCCAGCCCATATGTGGCTAGTCACTTGAGAATAATCTAAGCTTACAAGATGCCTCTTGTTCGCCTGTCTCGTGAGTCTGAGGATTGCCTGTTGGCTTGGCTGTGTTGCGTTGCTCATTTCATGCTCCTCCTCTCTGCCTTGCCCATTTTTTCCAACCCTCTAGCCTCTCTCACTCACTCTTTCCCTTCCCTGTGCGCCACAGCCTTCCTTCCCAGTCTCACTCCCCCAGAAGGCACGCCGCACAGCCAGCTGCTAGAGCCACCTTCCCAGCCGACTCAGACCCGACGACCTGAGGAAAGGACCGGGCTGCTCTGCTCCCCCCCAAAACCGGCGCCAGTCGTGCCCACCCCAGCCCAGCGCACTTCATCCCCCAAAAGCGGCTGGCTCCACTGCTGATTTCCCACACACCTGCGACTCGTCCGCTCGCTCGTTCCCCCCAGCACCACGCACCACGCACCACGTCCAATCCACCACACACAACCGCGACGCGCGACAAGTCTGCATCGCGACAAGCCGCTGCCGTGTCACTCCCCATCTCATCCATTTACTGCTCCATCTCAATGGCCCTTGGCTTATTTCGTTGCAGTCGCTAATTTTCCCCAGCAATCGCTCCATGGGTCGCGCCAGACGACCTCAACCATGAGCACCTGGATGAACGAAGCCGCGGTCCCCAACCATAATGGCAACGGCTTCCCACACATGAACGATCCTAACGCGGCCGGAGCCATGATGGATCCTTCCGCCTTCATGGGCAGTCCTGCCCATTTCAATCCCGCCCAGTTTGCCAATCCCCAGCAGGCTCAGCAGGCACAGCAACAGCAGGTTCAGCAGCAGCAACAGCAGATGGCCGCAATGCAAAATGGCCAAATGCGCAACGCCTCTCCGTCATCCTTTCAGAATCCCGCCTATCAAACAAACCCCGTTATTCCATCGAAACGACCTCGTCCTCGCGAAGACAGCCTCGCCGGCTCACCGCGACAAAACCCTGGCATGCTGCCAACGTCACGCTCCGAAACGCCTCAGACCTTTCCCGGCTATCAACCCGGTATGCCCCAACAGGCGCAAGGCCAACCTTCGCCGTATCCCCATCTTCAAGCCAACGGCTCTGCGAACGCGACACCTTCACCCATCATGGCGAATCAGTTGCGACCCGGAAGCGTGCCTCAGCGAGTTGCGACCGCGTCGCCACACCCTTTCTCCCCCGGTGCGCAACAATTTGCGCCTCAAGCGTCACCGAATCCCTCCGAGCACAGCACTCCGCAACCGAACCACTTCATGCAACAAAACATGCCCAACATGCCTCAAGGCTATAATCCGAACTTCAACCCTTCACCTTCCCCCGCGCGACCCTCCCCCAACCCGAGTGCGATGGCGGGCTCTGGCATGATGCCTCAGCAGATGGGACAGATGCCCCAGCAAATGGGCCAAATGCCGAACCAGATGTTGCCCCCCAACATGCAACCGCGGAATGCCATGGAGCACCAACAAATGGCAGCTTACCAGGCGCGGCTTCAGAAACAATTGCAACAGGGAACGATGCAGGGAATGCAGAACATGCAGAATATGCAGAACATGCAAAATATGCAGAACATGCAAATGGCAGCTCAGATGCAGGCTCAAAATATGGCGCAAGGCCGTGGGATGATGCCGAAGCAGCCCATGCAAATGCCTAATGGTCAGATGCCCCCGGGCGGTATGAGGCCCCAACCCCAACAGCGACAGATGCAGCCACGAACCGACCCGGAGCAATTCATGAAGAGTCTCACTACTTTCATGACCGCTAAGGGTCAACAGCTGGACGCGAACCCAGTCATCGGCAACCGACCCGTCAATCTGTTGACATTATTCCAAGCCGTGCAGAGCAAGGGAGGTTACAAGCCTACAACTGCTGGTAATCAATGGCCTCATGTTTCGAACAATATTGGATTTCACCCAGGCCAGATTCCCCAGGCACCCCAGGTTTTGAAGGAGATTTACGAAAGAAATCTACTCAGATTCGAGGAGGCTTGGGTTGCGCAGCAAAGTCGACAACGCATGATAGCACAACAGCAGCAACAGCAGCAGCAACAGGGTATGCCTAACCAGCCAATGCCGCCAGGCGCCCAACC